TCATGGGGGCCACTGGTGCCCATATCCAGCAGTCACTGTGCGAGAGGCGGAGGACAGACAGGTCTCCAGTTCATCACAGGGACACATAGAGACAAACGAGACAAACATTCACTCTCTCTCACACACCTAGGGACAATTTAGAGTTACCAGTCAGCCTAACATGCATGTTTTTAATCTGTGGGAGGAAACTGGAGTACCTGGAGAAAACCCACGCATGCACGGAGAGAACATGCAAACTCCACTCAGAAAGGCCCCCAGCTGGGATTTGATCCAGCAACCTTGCTGAGAGGCAAAAGCTCTACCAACTGTGCCACTGTGCCGCCCACTTATTGAACCTTTTAAATTAAAAACAAACACTTTTAGTTACTTAGAGTTTTTTTATTAGTATTTTTTATTCTCACTCTGATCAAATAGCCTCACTATTCTAAGGAATTTATCTTGAAGGTAATCCAAAACATCCCACTGTAAATCTGGATGGATAAATGAAGTGACTGAATTTAATCTACTTGTTTCAATCCTTTTGTTAGTAACATCATTCACATACTTGCAAAAACTGGCAGGAGACCTGCTAAAGCTAGCCTCTTCTGTTATGGAAATAAAAACCAATAAAATCATGTTAGTGTAGCTTGAACGAGCCGCTGCATAGTGACCAAAGAGCCACAGACGTCATTGATCTCCTCTGCCCACATTGTTCCAACCTCAGCTGCTACTGGAGTCCACGTTTTAAATGAACAAAAGCATGATTGCATAAAGGTTTTCTAAAGAAATTGTGCAATAATTGTGAATGTTCTGCTCAGATTCAGGGAGGAGGAACAAAAGAAGAAGAAGCAGCAGGAGGCGAAGGTTCAGCCAGCAGAGGTGAGACGGAACAGTTTGAACGACGCACACAGAATCCAAAAAGAGGAAGACAAAAGGAACGAACAGCAGAAGACGGATCTACAGATTCACTTGGATGCAGAGGTCAAACGAATGAAGCAGACTTTTGGTTTTACTTATTTTTATTTTTTTAACCTTGTCGTCTGTAAATAGTATGTTAGTTATTATATTCCAAATGCATTCTCTCTTGGAAACAGAAAGAAAAGGCCGAAGTCCTTCAGGCCCAGGAAGGTGCAGAACACCACAGGCAGGACAGAGAACTGCAGACTCAACATGAAGAGGAGGAGAGGCAGCTCAGGAAAAAGGTTCATATCATCTAAATTAGAGCTCAAAACGACCCGATTAAAGCCTAAGAGTCTAAACTACAGTGGCCTTCAGGTTTAAATGAACAACATTTGAAAATAAATAAATAAATAGAAGTACTTTTGAAAAAAACGCAACAAAAACATTTTGGGGAAAAAAGGTTTACATTTGAAAAAACAGAATTACATTTGAAAAAAACAGAATTACATTAAGCCAAAGCAGAGTGGACGAAGCGTAAGTGGTCAAAGTGACAGTGGCTGGAATCACATTTGGAAAAAACTGTATTACATTAAGCCAAATCACCTCAGGGCCACCATAGTTTTTTGTTAATAAAGTAAAAAAAAACACTTAGAACCCCCCCCCCCCCCCCCCCCCCCCAAAACACACACACACACACTCACCGCCACCACCACGAACCACCACCACCACTTCTGGTTTGGCTTAATGTAATTCTGTTTTTTTCAAATGGAATTCCGTTTTTTCAAATGTAATTTCGTTTTTTCCAAATGTGATTCCGGCCACTTCCGCTTTGGCCACTTCCGCTTGCGGCCACTTCTGCTTTGGCTTAATGCAATTCTGCTTTTTCAAATGTAATTCCGTTTTGTCAAATCTTGTTCATTTACACTTCAGGGCCACCGTACAAAACACCGTAATCCTAGTTCTTTGTGTGACTTTCCTTTCGCAGAGAATCGAAGAGATCATGAAGAGAACGAGGAAAGCTGAAGCGGACATGAAGGTACTTTGAGAGAAGCCTTCTGTTCTCAAGCCGCTGCCTTTAACGCCTGCTGACTGTTTGAACAAGACGTTTCTGTTGTTCTCTTTGACCGTCTGTTGTTTTTATTAAACAATTTTTTGGGTGACTCTTTTGGTTTTTGTGTCCTGATTGTCTCGGTCGTGCGTTGAATCAGAAGGAGGAGCAGGTGGAGACAAAGCCCGTCTCACCGCCGCCAGGTCAGTGCGCGTCCCGTCAGCCTGGTGACGTTCTCAGCTTGCTTGCTGTCCTTAATTTTTCTCCCTCTGCTGTAAAAACTACTACAGGGCATGTGTGGTTTATGATCTGAGTCAGTGGCAGGAAATCTGAAGCATGTGCAACAGCTGCCTGGATTTTATGAGCTGGCTTCTCAGACGTGATGATGCTTTGGCTTTGGTTTGTTCACAGCAATGAGCATCAGTAATTCAAAAGCAAAAATTATATAATGATTTGCGCTTTGGGACATTCATTTAAATTATTTATTGCGATTTTTATTCTGCATGGACATGAAGTTTTGTTTTTAACTGTGCACACTTATCAGGCAGAATTATTATCACAAATATATTTTATATGAGCTTATTTGTTTATAATCTGCTTTAGTAATGGCTTTCATGTGACAAGTGGAGTCAAGTGCGTTTCATTTTTTAAACTGTTTCTGATTAACAAAAAAGGTTGAATCATGTCATCTGGACTTCGTTTTTTTTGTTAAAAAGAAACGTTTCGCCCCTCGTCCAAGAGGCTTCGTCAGTCTGAGGCCTAGCCATCTGGTATTACCCAGAAGCCACCCTGACTCTTGTGTTTCAAGCCTGCCTCAGATACCCCTGAGGTCTGGCCTATTCACTAATGGTTTCAAAAACACAAAGTTTGTTTTCT